TTGCACATACAACCAAATTCGGACTGAAAATAAGTATGCCTAATTTGATCGAAATCGGTTCAGATATAGCTATAGCTACAATATATATTGTTCATCCGATTTGTTATTTTTGTCCTCCGCAGCCGTAATATGCACTCTGTAACAACAATATTTGGGGAAATATATCAAATGCAGCTCAGAAATACCTTTGCTAAATTTTATCGAGATCGGTTCAGATTTGGATATAGCTCCCATATATAACTTCGTCCGATTTAACTTTTACTGTGCACCAATCGTCTAATATTTACCCAAATGGGATGAAATTTAGCACTTACGACCGAATTGAGTCTAGAAGCTAGTATCTCAAATTTGGTGAAGATGGGTTCAGTTATAGCAATAGCTCCGATATAAACTATTCATCCGATTTCTAGTATTTGTTACCCACAGCCGTAATATGCACTCCGTAACAACGGAGAAAAAAAAGTATGCAAAGGTTATAGTCGTGCGGGGCCGACCATGTGATACCCTACAACACTACAATATCTTAGCAGCCCCCTTATGTCCAAATCCATTTTGGATGATTTCGCTTTTGAAATTATGTCACCAGGGACTTTTGCCCAATATTTACGCTCTCCGTCGTGCTTTTAGTTGTGTGGTCCACTTTAAAGCTGAATATAATCCAATGGTCAACAAAAATGCTAGAATTCTTCGCTGTCCTTAACTCTCTTCTCAGGCGTGTCGATTGTCTTCAATTGTGTGATCGGGATTTTTTTCGGTTTTTGGTTCATTTGAACCCCTAAATATTTTACGATAAATCTCCAAAAGCAAGATACCCCTTTTTATATCCAAATTGAGACGCATCTATATCATTTGCTTCTCTACGATATTCGTCAAAGAAATCAGCATAAAAAAGCCTGAAGTTCGCCTTTTGTGTGTTTCGGATATCGCCTGTAAGTAATGCTGGTATGTTTCCACACAAAATTAGTGGTCCATTGTACCCGCTGTTCTAAACTCTAACTTTATGCGAGATTTCGTGTCCTCTGGTTTCTATTTGTGACCTTTATAACGGCTGCAAAATCAGGAAAATTTTTAGTTGTTGGTCCATTTCAACCCCTAATATATTGCGGACATCTTTGAAAACAATAGGCCTAGCCCTTCTGAGCCTAAACCTACCCTTGCGAAAATTTCCGTGAGGATCGGATAATAATTGCAATCTGTATATAATAACCCCAACCTGTGTTGTAAGGTGAAAAAAATATTACAAAATATACACTTCAATATTATAAGTCAAATTGAAAAAATCGCATGCGATAAAAAATATGAAAAAATAAAAACATGTCACGAAATACTACAAAATCTATATAAACATCATTATTGGCATATTTTTCTGCGATTTTTTTAGATTTTATACTTTTATGTCAAGAGGGCATTCTGAATTGACAAAATTTGTCAAAATCGGTCCAGTCATTCTCGAGATATAAGCATTCTAGCTAACATCCCCTTCCTTTGTATATATGCATTGTATATATTTCGCTATATATATCCGATATATTTACTATCGGCATCTACGTAACTGTTGGAATTGGAAGGCTTCTGCCCAGCCCTAAGATCTAGAGTCATGCTAACTTTCGCATCGATTGGTCTATAATTGCGACCTGTAGAGCAACTGTAAATAAGGAATTTTTTCAGTTTTTGGTCCATTTCAACCCCTAAATATTATGCGATCATCTCCAAAAGAAATAGGGTTCTATTCTGACCCTAGCCCCACCTCCATTCTAAATTTCGTGAAGATCGGGCCATAATTGCGACCTGTAGAGTGATTACAAATTAACATGGACAGACGTACGGACGGACATACATAGCCAGATCGACTCAGCTCGGCGAGATAGGAAGATCCACACATACTTTCATATGTGGGAAACCAATATTTCGAGGTGTTACATAATTTTTGGCCCAATCAAACTTATAATACCCCCAACACATAGTGTTGCAGGGTATAAATATGATATAGGGAAGCTATAAGGGTTGAAACTGTGAGTTATACAGGCTGATAAAAACACAGCTGCCTTCCAGCCAAAAAAAAAAACTCATTACAAATCGGTTAGCCAATCCTTTATTTAACATGGACCCTTCCTACGGAATAAGGAGCTCTTATCTAGTCATTAAAAATCAACAAATAACGGGTTAACTGATTTTCAGTGGCCTGCTACGAATACGGATTTTGTGCGGGTTTTAAACCAGATTTGTGGGTTTGTAAACCGGTTTGTAATAAGGATTTTTACGGAGCTCTTAATTTTAAATCGGTGATCCGTCGTTAAATGGAATTTTTCTACTAACCAACCTGAAAAATGCTTGAGGTTTGAATTTTGTATATTTTACCTCGATTTTATATAAATCATCACATTTTGAGGAAAAATTCCCCGCCTCGAAACCCCAAACAGGAAAAGCCCAAATTATTTTAACGTAATTATTCCCATGTACCCCACCAACAAAAATACCAGAATAAATAATTTTATAATTTTTATAATTTTTTTTTTATAATTTTTTTTTTTGTTTGTTATATATTAACAAGAATATAAAAAACAACAGCAACAAACAAAATAACCATAGACCAGTTTTTACGCCCCATCGGCAGTTGCCATCCAGATGTTAGACGAGCCCATCTACTCTGGCGATGGCTGCACGCGTTGTATAATCATCTAAAAATACAGTTAAATGGCAATTATTGGTATAATGAGTATAAGTATTTACCGAAAATAAAATTAAAAGAATTTTGCAATAATTGAAAACAAAACTTTAAATAATAATAACAAGTTTATGAGGGAGACTTGTGACTTGTGATATCAATTATAGGGTGAGATAAAAAACTGCAACAAAGACAAATGCCATCATTTTTAAATTTTTTTTTAAATTTTATCGAATGAAAGAATGAGAAAATGTCGGAAATAGCATTAAATTTCAGAAAAAGTTTAGATTTGTTCGAATTGGCACGCATTATGGCCTTCAAATGGAACGGAAATTTCAGACTTGTATATCTATCCCTTCATCCAATACCAAAAACATCTGCATAATTCAATTTCAGATACAAACAGAGACTTCCATATCAAAATTCGGGAATCCAGCAGAGTCCCTTCACCCAATTCGAATTTTAGGATTTCAGCTCTATTCCTTCACCCAATACCAAATTTAGTGTCATTTAGTAGTTTTCATACAAATATAAGACGCATTTTCAAACCACGGCCTAATCTCAAACCTGATACCTTCAGTAATTTAAATATCAAATTTCAAAATTTTATCTTTTTCCCTTCATCCAATACCAAATAAAGTACCATTGAGTACTTTTGGTACAATTATAGTACACATTTCCAAAACCATCTGCATATTTCAATTTCAGATACAAACAAAGACGTCAATATCAAAATTCGGGATTCCAGCACAATCCCTTCACCAAATACCCAATTTAGTACCAATTATTCTTTTTCGAACAATTATAGTACAAATCTCCAAAATCACTTCCATTTTCAGCTCTATTCCTCCACCCAATACCAAATTTAGTACTATTTAGTACTTTATAGTACGCATTTCCAAAACTATCTGAATAACTCATTTCCATTTACCAACAAAGAGCTCAATATAAAAATTGAGGATACCAGCCCTATCCCTTCACCCAATACTAGATTTAGTACTTTTCGTACAAATATAGGACATATTTCCGAACCACCGCCAAATCTCAATTCCAGATATCTACAGAGACTTAAATATTAAATTTGATGATTTCAGATCTATTCCTTCACCCAATACCAAATTTAGTACCATTTAGTACTATTTAGTACTTTTCGTACAAATATAGGAAGCATTTCCAAACCACCGCCAAATATCAATCCATGATAATATCAGTAATCTAAATGTCAAATTTTAGGATTTTCAGACTTATTTCTTCACCCAATACCAGGTTTAGTACTATTTAGTAATTTTCGTACAATTTTAGTACACATTTCCAGAACCACCTCCATATCCCGATTCCAGATACCAACAGACCCCTCAATATCAAATTTGGGAATACGAACCCTTCGCCCAATACCGTTTTTAGTCCAATTAGTACTTTTCGAAAAATTATAGTACACATTTCCAAAACCACCTCCAAATCTTAAACCCAAATACCATCAAAGACCTCAATATCAAATTTGAGAATTTTATCTCTAGCCCACCCATTTCTAAACATAATACCAATAAATACTTTTCGTACCATTATAATACACTTTTCCGATACCACTTCCATATGTCCATCCAGCACATAAACAGCTACCCTAATGCCAAATTTCAGATTTAGAACACTATCTGTTCAGCCAATACCAAATTGTACCAAATATAGTACGATTTAGGGAAGAACTCTAGTTTAGTAAAAACTTACGCATTCTTTTTTTTATTTTTTCCTGGAAGTAGATATTTGTTCCCTAATTCTGTTAAAGTATTTTTTTCTTGGGAGACGGACCCGGATAACCAGATTTTTGCGCCCGAAAGTCTGGGTTCAAGTCCCGTATCTGCAAAATCGATATGAATAATATATAATTTAAAAGCTATTAAAAATCTTTATTTAATTTAATTTGATGGGGTTCGGAAATTATATTAAAATTATCAATTTTTTGTCCCAGTTTTTTTTTAAGTCCTCCAAAAATAGGAAAATTCCCCGTTTTTGGAGTTCACGAAATATGTTTTCATTATTTTCATATTTTTCAAATGGTATATAGTTCATATCGGTTTTATAGATCCGGGTCTATATCCAGGGTATCCAGATCTGTCCCAAGAAAAAAATACTTTCCCGGGAGAGTAAATATATCTTTCTCCAAACTGACTTTTGCTTTAAACTACTCTTTTATATATAGATAGTCATAGGCAGAGAGAGAGAGAGAGAGAGTATATCTCTCTCAAAACCTTCAAACTCGTTTATTTTTTTCTCCAACAATGTTTAAATTTTGAACCAAAAAAATATTAACAATAAAATTATAATTCTCTCTTTACAGATATGACACGCCATATGACGTATTCGCTTGTGGTACTCAGCAGCTTGTTGGTGGCTGTCAATTCCCAATATAGCTATGACAAACCAGTCAAACTTATCGACGATGGTTATGCATATGCCAAACCCGCTGCCACCGGACATTTCTTTCCACCGCTGCCAACGGTAAAACCTCTACCAGCTGTGCCAGATCTTCCGCCACTACCCACAGCTCGGCCAAAGGTAACACTTACCCAACAGGCACTGTATCAGACGCATCCAACCCCGGGTCATGGTGCTCCCCACACGACTCTATTGCCGGCCACCTTCAAGCCAACGGACATTGATAAGATTGCTCAACAATATCGTCCATCATCGGCACCAACATCAACAGGTGGCACTTCGGGATATGGTGTGACGGGAAGTGGCAACGGCGGAAGCTATTCACAACCCACTGCTCCCAGCGGTGGTGGCGAAATTTTGTTGGGCACCTTTGGTCCACCAACTGGCAGTGCTGCCCTGGATCCCAATGCCCCGGCACAACAACCTTTGCGTATTCCCTTCGGCAAGACCGCCATTATTCATCCGGCCGGTACCGGTGGCGGAGAACGACCATTGAAGCAATATTCCGTAATTGAGATTATTGACAATGATATTGCCCAGAATAACCAACCCTTCTTGCCACCCTTGGTCCATGATGATTTCCGTGCTTTGATTGGTGCCACCGGCACGGGAGCGATTGCTCCCCTCACCACTGGATTCCAGTTCGAATCGAAGGCCAATTCAAATGTTGTGGCCCAACAACAACAGCAAGAGTATCACACATCGTTCCGTTCAAGCGGCCAAATTGCTTTGGGTTCTGGTGGTTTGGGTTTGGTCCGCCTACCCGATGGAAAAATCCATTTAGGTTCCGGTTCCTTGGGCTATATTAGCAATGACATGGTACGTCACAATGCCAATGAGGCCCGCACACGTTCCGAAATGGCCAGAGCGAGTGCCCTGCACTTTGGTCATGGCTCCTTGGCCCAGGCGCAGCAGCAGCAGTTTGGTGGGGCGCGCACTTTTAGATTTTAATTACAATTTTAAGTAACTGCAGATGAGAGGAGAGAATTTAAATTTAATCCGTTACGAAAAGATAACAACAACTACAGCAACAACAATAACAATAACTGAAAATGTAAACTTTTGTAAAGTAAATCGAAGAGACATCGTGCACAATGTCCTGTTTTTTATTCCTGATTTATTTTTTGTTTTTTTCTTAAGTATCGAATGCTTTTTTAAGTTTCGTTTTAACCTATGTACATATTTTTTATTATCAATATACATACATATATATCTACATTTGTTTTATCATTGCGATGTAAATAAAATAATAATTACGACAATACAAACATATGATGACGTGTTTTTAACTCGAAAATTAGAAAAGGCTACAGTGTTACCACATTTCAATGTGGATAGGTTTGTGCCTAGGATATTTTATATTTAACTATTTTTCTTAGACACAAACACACATTAGGTGGGGCATTGTTATGAATGATGTTGCCACTGGAAAAACTTTACAATTGAAAAATATTTTTGAAAAATTTAGGTCACAATTTGGGACAGCCAATTATTTTCAATTATTCAATTCAATTACACAAACTGTTTCGTGTTTTTACCCTCCACCATAGATGGAGGGTATTTAGACCCCACAAAGTATATATTTTTTTGTCCGTCCGTCTGTGGAAATCACTATAGCTTCCGAACGAAATGAAGTAGGTTGATAAAATTTTACTCAAATGTGTATTACGTCTGCAGGATTTTTGGTATTGAAAATGGGCCACGTAGGTCCACGTTTTGCTATAGCCCCCATATAACGGTACCTCCCGATATGCGGTATTTTCATGATCTTGCGACATTACTTACCGGAATTGTTTCAAAATTGGTTGAAGTCCGTATTGGATACTACAACATAAAACAGAAAATGGATCATGTAAGTCCACGTCTTCGTATAGCCCCCATATAACGCTACATCCCGATATTCGGTTTTGATAATTTTACCGACATTCTTTAACGGAATTGTTTTAAATTTCGTATTTGATGTTCGAAATAGATACTACAGAATAAAACAGAAAGTGGACCATTTAGGTCCACGCCTTCGAATAGCCCCCATATAACGGAACCTCCCGATATTCGATATTTTGATGATTTTAGCAACAGTATTTACCGGAATTCTTTCAAATTTGGTATTCGAAGTTCGTAATAGATACTACAGAATCAAACAGAAAATGGATCATGTAAGTCCACGTCTTCGTATAGCCCCCATATAACGGTACCTCCCGATATTCGGTATTTTGATGATTTTAGCGACATTACTTACCGGAATTCTTTCAAATTTGGTATTTGATGTTCGAAATGGATACTACAGCCTAAGACAAAAAATTGTCTGTGCAAGTCGACGTCTTCATATATTCCCCATATAACGGTACCAAGCGATATTCGGTGTTTTAATGATTTTAGCGACATTATTTCCCGGAATCGTTTCAAATTTGGTATTTGAAGTTCGTAATGGATACAGCCTATGACAGAAAATTGTCTGTGCAGGCCCACGTCTTCGTATAGCCCCAATATAACATATATTCGGAATTTTGATGATTTTAGATACATTATTATTAATTTTTAACGGATTTTATTTATTTATTTATTTATTTTTTTTTTTTTTTTGAAAATTGTCAAAATCGTTCCAAATGGTGGAGGGTATTTAAAGATCGGCCCGACCGAACGTACCGCTTTTTTCCTTGTTTAAATTTTAAATTTTAAATGTTGTCAGATAGTTTTTACCGGTCACTAACAAACAGTTGAAAAATGCGTGATTGAGGATAATAGAATCCAGTCGATGATAGAAATTTTCCGAGGATGTGTTCTAAACTTCTAAAATGGTACCATTTGCTATTATGTGAATGGATAGAGTTAAAAACTTGAAATTTGATACGAGAATCAAGGTTGGAAAAAAAGTTTGGTATATGAAGGTGATTTTCGAAATGTGTACTAAGTGAGCGAACTGTTCTAAACTATACTAAATGTGGAAGAATTTGTTATGCGGATTAAACTGGAATTTTAAAATGTTGTATTGGGATCCCTGTTGGTGGCAGGTTGATGATAAAAAGGTGATTTTGGAAAAATGTACTAAATAGTACTATAATTGGTACAATTTGGTATTGGGTGTACAGACAGTTTTTGAAACCTGAAATTTGGTATTAGGGTCACTGTTCATGTGTAGCCTTGACATATGTAAGTGTGTACGAAAAGTACTAAATGGTACTAAATCTGGTTTTGCTTGAAGGGATAGAAAGAAAAATGTAAAATTTGATATTTAGGTACCTCTGGGGGTCTGCGGTTGGGGTATGGAGGTGGTTTTGGAAATATGGACTATAATTGTTCGGAAAGTACTAAATAGTACTATATGTGGCTATGTTATGAAGGTGGTTATGGAAATATGTAGTATAATTGTTCGGAAAGTACTTTATAGTACTATATGTCGTACAATTTCGTGTTGGATGAACACAAAGTGCTTGAAATCTGAAATTTGGTGTTAGGGTCGCTGTTCATGTGTAGCCTTGACATATACAAGTGGTTTCGCAAACGCGTAGTATAATTGTACGAAAAGTACTAAATAGTACTACATTTGGTCTCAGTTAAAGGAATATAAATAATAAATAAAACTCTGAAATTTAATATTCAAATGGTTGTTTGTATCTGTGGTTATAGTATGGAAGTAGTTTTGGAGATGTGTGTATGTGTATAATTGTTCGAAAAGTACGAAATAATACTAACTTTGTTATTGGGTAAAGGGACAGGCCTGAATCATCAAATTTGATATTGAGGTCTATAATGGTATCTGGAATTCAGATATGGAGGTTGTTATGGAAATGTGTACTACAATTGCACGAAAAGTACTAAATAGTACAAAATTTAAAACAATTTGGTATTGAATGAACAGATAGTGCTTGAAATCTGAAATTCGGTATTTGGGTCGTTGTTCATGTGTAGCCTGGATATATGGAGATTGTTTCGGGATAATTGAACGAAAAGTACAGAATTTTACTATCTTTGATTTTGGGTGATGGGATAGAGGAAAATTTGATAATTAGATAGCTGATAATGTCTGTCTTTGAGATTTGGCGGTGGTTTGGAAATGTGTCCTATTATGTACGATTACAATTCACGATCGATTTTAACTTATATTTAGCATTAATACCTCCGACATGTTGAAACGTAAAAGTTGGTGTAACGGATCATTAGTGAAACATTTCTACATCTCAGGCATTTGAAATATTATTTATTGACTATTAAAAAAAAAGCGAAGTTCATTTTCATCCGATTGTCTCCTGTAGACCAAAAGTTCAGGTTTTAGAGTATCACCCATAACAATGTAAACCCTGCTTGTTATCGAGGATTTATGGTGCATTATGGTCAACGCCTTTTGAAACTTGTGGTTACAAAATGAGTTTCGTTAACCTTTAACTTGTGAGGTGACATATTTTATAACGTGGTGGTAAATTGTACCCCTCTAAATTTTACAGAAAAAAAAACTTTGTTAAAAATTTTATTTAATAATAATTTGTTTTTTAAAAGTAAAGTTGTATGTTAAAGTTGTATGTTGTATGTTTTAACAGGTCTCAATTTTCAGGGAAAAACTCCGTGGAATTAAGCCTGGACCGAAAGCACATAGACAAGTTTTTAAGATCGTTGGACATCATAAGACGCCTCCCTTGCAAAAACTATCAATTGATGGAGCAACGCTTACTAATGAGGCTGAATGTCTCAACCGTTTAAGATTGTTCTTTTCAAGTATTTATAATATGCCAGTACACCAACCTTCTGAAGAAGAACTCATTAACGGTTTCATTGCCAACCTTCCTCAACATAGTGTTTCATTTTCAAATGACGTGGATTCCAGAAATAGAGAAGGATGCGAAAGTCTTACAACCTTAGATGAAGTGATGGCCATTTCAGCAGCTATCAAGAATAAAAAGTCTTCCGGACTCGATGGTCTTTCGAATTTTATTATTCGCAAACTTCCCGTCAAAGCTTTCGAGTATTTAACCATTATATTTAATAATTGCATTTCTAATGGGTATTTCCCTGATTCTTGGAAAATTTCCAAGATTATTCCCATTAAGAAAAAAGCCAACAGCGAAGAAATTTCAAATCTTAGACCTATATCTTTACTTTCAAATTTGGGCAAACTTTTCGAGATAGTTATTCGGAAAAAATGGATAACGGAATATCGTTGCCATATATTCCAAATTCACAATTCGGGTTTCAGAGGGGCCATTCAACAGTTGATGCAATGACAAAATTTCATAATGATATTGTTCTAAATTTAAGGGATAAAAAATGTACTGTCGCTGTTTTTCTTGACGTAGAAAAAGCTTTTGACCATGCTTCTCATTATGGAATATTGACGAAAATGATAAACATTGGATTTAATCCTCAGATCATAAAGCTGATTAAAAGTTTTTTCACAAGAAGACAGTTTTGCGTGCAGTTTAAACACAAGTTGTCAGAGCTTTCAGATGTGAACTGTGGTGTCCCTCAGGGTTCGGTTTTAGCTCCCCATCTGTACAATATTTTTATGAGTGATTTCCCCCACGATCGTGAACACTCCAAAAGTATTTTGTATGCTGACGATTCCTTGCTATATTCGCACCACGAATCGCCTGTTGTTGCTTTGGCAGATATCTCGCAACATCTCCGCGTAGTAAATCAATATTTTGATAAATGGGGTATCAAGATAAACCCTTCAAAATGTGAAGCCATTTGCATAAGGAATGCTTCTGGGAAATGCAAACGGTTTGTTGTTCCCGAAAGTAAGACATTAAAACTTGTTTTGAATGGTACAGAAATTCCATTCAAAGACTCTGTCACATATTTAGGTATTGAGTTTAATAAACTTTTTAAATTTAATGTTCACGTGAGAAAAGTTCGAAATAAAGCTCTAAAAATCTTTAATTCTTTTCTAAAACTTTTTTGTAACAACTTTTTACCATCCAACACCAAAATTCTTTTGTACAAAACCTGCATAAGACCAATAATTAGTTATGCATTTCCAATTTGGTTCAATATATCACCGACGATAATGAAGGAACTTGAGATGCTGGAGAGAAAAATTTTAAGGTTGTGTATAGGGAAAAATTTTAGCAGTAGAAATAAAAGATATTCAAATAACTATATTTATTCCAAATCAAAGTTAAAGCGTTTTTCCACCTACGCTTTTGATATTTTGGATAAGTTTAATTTAAGATTGGAATTTCATGAAAATGCTCATATGATAGAGGCAATTAATAGTCAGAGAAACTTTGGGTTGTCAAACACACAATATCTCTCTCCTTTGGGGTTTTCAAATGAGGATCAGGCAGGCATTACCTGCTTTTATGAAAAGGCGCTCGCCGGGACTCATCGTGGGTAGCTATTGCGTACCTTTTTATTATTATTATTGTTATTTTATTGTTTTGTTCTTTTTCATATGTTTTTATTTTTAGATGTAAGTTTTAGTTTTAAGTTTTAAACCCTAGATTTAAGATTTTCTCTTTTATGTAAAAGTCCCGGGAGCAAGGGCGTCCATTAACACACCAGATGTTTACATTTTATTGTCTTTTTATTAAATGAAGCATGATGCTGTATAACTTTTCTTGACATTAGGATAATACATTATAGTCTTAAGGATTCCTTTATATTGTTTTTTTTAATTGTAATCTTATTGATAAAAAAAAGACTCAATAAAATATAACTTAACTTAACTTATAAGTAAAAAAACATGTTTTTTTTTTTAATGTAAACAAAATTTTTATTCATTGTAATAGAATAGAGAATTTTAAGAAAATGTGAAGGGAGGGTAAAATTTAACACCACCTCAGGAGTTAAAGGTTAAAGCATTTTGGAGACCACTACTAAATTACATCTTTCGATCCACAATTTACATGACATCGGATGAAGTTATGTATAGTAGCTATGGCCACGTCAGAGCCGATTATCAATAAAATCAATACAAAAACAAATAATTTATTTAAAGAGACAGGGTCACACAATGGGTCGAACACTATCGTTTGTTTTTTTTTTTTTTTTTTTTCGAACACTATCGTTTGTTTTTTACTCTGTCATGATTGAAACATCAATCAGCAAATATCAACAGAAATTTTCAAAACAGTTGTTCTTAAAACTTGGTTTTTAATCGGTTTTTGATATTCTTATTATTTATTGTTGTTGTTGTCTCGTTGAGCTTTAACAAATGACGATAAGCATCTTTAAGGTTTTTGCTGCTACTGTTTTTTTTTTGTTTTTTTGGAGTTTTTCTGTTATGTTTTTGACACTGTTTTTATACCCTACAACACTATGTGTTGGGGGTATTATAAGTTTGATTGGGCCAAAAATTATGTAACACCTCGAAATATTGGTTTCCCACATAGGAAAGTATATATGGATCTTCCTATCTCGTCGAACTGAGTCGATCTAGCTATGTATGTCCGTCCGTCCGTCTGTCCATGTTAATTTGTAATCAAGCTACAGGTTGCAATTATGGCCGATTCCCACGAAATTAAAAATAGAGGTGGGGTTAGGGTCAGAATAGAACCCTATTGTTTTTGGAGATGATCGCAAAATATTTAGGGGTTGAAATGGACCAAAAACAGAAAAAAATATTTGATTTTGCAGTTGCTCTACAGGCCACATTTATGGACCAATCGGCGCAAGGTTTTGCATGTAGTTAGAGTTTAGGACTGGGCAGAAGCGTATAAATTTGGATGGTCATTGGACCACATTTAGCGGTTAAAATGGACCATAACTTTTTTTGTAAAAAATACGAAATTTTCCACTAAACCGCTAATATTTTTTGTCCTGGCGAAATCACAAATATACGGAAATGTCACTTCTGACCGTTACATTGATGCGCATAGCCAAAATCTCGCATATATAGCAAAATATATACAAACTCATATATCAAAGAAGGGAATGTTAATTAGATCGCTGATAAGTCAAGAACCGCTAGACTGATTTTCACAATTATCATCTATTCGGAATGGCCTCTTGCCAGGAAAGGATAACATCAAAGAAAATCGCGTAAAAATGTGCCAATAAAAAAGTGAATATTTTTCGTTACATTTTTCCAATTGTTGTCATATTTTTTATCGCATGCGATTTTTTCAATTATAAATATATACTACAACTCTATTTAGAATTTAAATTCGCACCTACACATCTGGGTTTAAGTTCGTTTGATTTACATAAGCAAATAGATATCTGAACTACCATCGCCATCTATATTTCAGAACAATAGTTACTTTTTAAATCCAACCTTATTTGTTTTGTAATTCCCTCTTAGTTCTTGTCTGTGCTCAAAATATTCAGCCAACTCCATAAAATATGCACTGGTTTATTTCTCTTATTGTTGACAATAGAAAGTATATTTATCGATGACACAAACCTGACAAGTAACGTTTCTGAGACACTGATGCGTTAGTAAAATGTTCAACAAATTCAAACTGTTGACCTATGGCAATGTGAAAATGTACCCAATTTCTTTGTTTGCCAGCTTTTTTACTTTATATATATATATGTATGTATGTATATATATATATATATATAAAGTAAAAAAACTGTAAGTTCGGCCTGGTCGAACTTTGCATACCCTCCACTGTTTGCAACGATTTTGGCACTTCTCAAAAACAATCAAATCCATTAAAAATTCTGTTAAAATCCTAAAATACCGAATGTAGGCGTATATTAGGGACTATAAGACAACGTGGACCTTCTGGCTTCCATAACACGGCTTTTACATTTCTTGTTGCAGACTCGATGACGTTTTCGGCTACAACATTATCCAGTCGATAACTGGTTCGTGTCGCAATCCCTCGATGGTCGCACAACGATACAGCATGGATCCGTATTTTTATAACCCAAACCGAACTTTCCTCCCACTCTGGACTTGGCAACCTTTTGATGCAAATTCACTATATTGTCGTTATTGAGGGTTACATTGCAACCATTTTCTTCGATTGTGTTGTGTATTTGGTTCGTCAGCCGAACCACGTTCGTCATATTAACGGATCCGGACAAATTGGACATCTCTTCAGGCAGGTCACAACATCCTTATCACCCAGACGGGCCTGCTTGCATTTGTCACTTTTTTCGTGACACTCTACGTATTCCTTCAAAGTAGGTAGGTCATAATTTTCCAGTTGAGTACGGATGACAATTGGATTGACAGGGATAGTATTTCGATGGGTGGTGCTACCTCCATCTGCGATCAGTTGTTTGTCTTCGGTCGCACTTAGAGACCTGGTGACCAGTAAAACTGCCAACAAGTTGAAAAGTACCCAAAGGGAAGAGTGAATCATAGCGTTTTTTTTACCTTTGACATTGTTAACGTACCTGAACGGTCATTTGGTGAAGTTTCTTCCTTAGCGAGTACTAACCACTTTGGCTGCTACCTTGTGGATAACCAAAAAAAAGTATCGACTGAATTTATTATGAAATTCATTTTGAAAGCTTTTCGATATCAGCATGCATTAGTCAAAAAAAATCGGAATGCACATAATTTGCAAAGAGTTGTTGGAAGTACTTTTCCGATAATACATCAATTAATATCGAGTAAACAAGCTGTAAGGCCGAACTTTGAATACCCTCCATCATTTGGTACAAATTTGGCAATTTTCGAAAAATTAAAATCTATTAAAAATTCTGTTAAAATCTTTAAACCCCAATGAAGCCGCATATTAGGGACTATACGTCGACGTGGACCTGCATAGACAACTTTTGTCACAACCTATATAGGAATAGGTTGCAGTATCCATTACGAACTTCAAATACAGAATTTGAAAAAATTCCGATGAATATTGTCGCTAAAATCATCAATATGCCGAATATCGGGAGGTACCGTTATATGGGGGCTATACGAAGACGTGGTCCTGCACAGACAATTTTCTGTCATAGGCTGTAGCATCTGTTTTGAACTTCAAATACCAAATTTGAAACAATTCCGGTGAATAATGTCGCTAAAATCACCAAAATACCGAATATCGGGGGTTCCGTTATATGGGGGCTATACGAAGACGTGGACCTGCACAGACAATTTTCTGTCAAAGGTTGTAGTATCCATCACGAACTTCAAATACCAAATTTGAAACAATTCCGGTAAATAATGTCGCTAAAATCATCTAAATGCCGAATATCGGGAGGTACCGTTATATGGGGGCTATACGAAGACGTGGTCCTGCACAGACAATTTTCTGTCATAGGCTGTAGTATCCATTACGAACTTCAAAAACCAAATTTAAAACAATTCTGATGAATATTGTCGCTAAAATCATCAAAATCCCGAACATCTGGAGGTACCATTGTATGGGGGCTATACGAAGACGTGGACCTGCCCAGACAATTTTCTGTCACAGCCTGTAGTATCCATTACGAACTCTAAATACGTAATTTGAAACCACTCCGGTCAATAATGACGCGAAAATCATCAAAATACCGAATATTGGGAGGTGCCGTTATATGGGGGCTATACGAAGACGTGGACCTGCCCAGACAATTTTCTGTCACAGGCTGTAGCGTCTGTTTTGAACTTCAAATACCAAATTTGAAACAATTTCGGTGAATAATTTCGCTAAAATAATCAAAATACCGAATATCGGAAGGTACCGTTAATGGGGGCTATACGAAGACGTGGACCCATTTTCTATATAAAAAATCCTGTAGACATAATATACATTTGAGTATAATTTTATCAATCTACTTTAATTCGTTCGGAAGCTAGAGTGATTTCCACAGACGGATAGACGGACGAACATCGCTAATCATTATCTTCATACCCATAGCGATCCTTACAACAAACAATTCAAAACTAAATTCAATTCAAAAATTTTGAAAAAATTTTAAACATATGATTGCATGGCCTTACCTTCTTAATTCTACCATGCATTCCATAAAGTTGTATTTTGTTTTTGTTGTGAAAACAAAGTCGAATAAAAATTTTTATTTTTTGAGATTAGATTTTTATTAATTTATGTATTATCGGAAAAGTACTACCAACAAATCTTTGCAAATTATGTGCATTCCGATTTTTTGATTAATGTATGCTAACATCGAAAAGCTCTCAAAATGAATTTCATAATAAATTCAGTCGAAACTTTTTTTATTGGTTAGTCAAAAGGTAGCAGCCAAAGTGGTTGGTACACGCTTAGGAAGAAACTTCACCAAATGGCCGTTCAGGTAGGTTAATAATGTCAAAGGTTAAAAAATCGCTATGATTCACACTCTTCCCTTCAGGTACTTTTGCACTTGTTGGCAGTTTTACTCGTCACCCGCTCTCTAAGTGCGACCGAAGACAAACAACTGATCGCAGATGGAGGTAGCACCACCTATCAACATACTGTCCCGGTCAATCCAATTGTCATCCGTACTCAACTGGAAAATTATGACCTACCTACTTTGAGGGAATACATAGAGTGTCACGAAAACAGTGACAAATGCAAACAGGCCTGTCTGGGTGATAAGGATGTTGTTAAGTGCCTGAAGAGATGTCCAATTTGCCCGGATCTGGTAAGGGGTGACCACCTAGTGCAGGGTGTGAACGATACTCTACTGACCCAGCCGAGATCCGTTAATATGACGAACGTGGTTCGGCTGACGAACCAAATACACAACACAATCGAAGAAAATGGAGGCAATGTAACCCTCAATAACGACAATAACGTGAACTTGCATCAAAAGGTTGCCAAGTCTAGAGTGGGAGGAAAGTTCGGTTTGGGCTATAAAAATACGGATCCATGCTGTATTGTTTTGCGACCATCGAGGGATTGCGAGACGAACCAGTTATCGACTGGATCACGTTGTAGCCGAAAACGTCATCGCGTCTGTGGCAAGAAATGTAAAAGCCGTGTCATGGAAGCCAGGAGGATAACTGTCTGTGATTCTAATTCAGATTATACGGATCAGTATGGCTCTGACAGTTGCCATGAAACTGTGAAATATGTACCAGTCCAACCAAGAAGATATTTGCCTCAATCAAGACCAAGCAAATGTTCATACACTCCGGCATGGCCATTTGTAGCTTGTGGAACGCAAAAAGTGTCTCCTCAACCTAACTGCGACTACTGTCTCCATTTGCCATACGTATACATAATGCGAAACGGCGTTCCACGGCAATGTGGGCACTGCCTAAAAATCTATAACGGCAGGTCGAATACCTACAACTATCAGCAACAATTGCCGATTGATAGGCAGCCGTTTATGCAATATCCACTAAGCAACTATCCCGCCAATGGAGGTGATTTCGAATTTGATATTCCCGAAGGCTGGAGAGAAGAGCCGAAGAAATTCCTCTTGCCTGATGGCGATTATTACAATAACAATGTTATTGAAAGCGATAACTTCAACCCATACGAGTATGCACCGGTGGAACACACGAATGATTATTCTGATTACGACAACGGATATTAAGCTTAATTTGGCCTTCCGAACGGTCGTAAATACAGATAGCTATGTTTTTTTTTTTCTTTTTTTGAAACCTTAAATTGGATTGGATGATTTCAATGTTCTGAATCATGGTACAATGAAATAAAGGTATCCTCATTTCAAAGCAGCATTCCCAGCTCGGCATTTTCTGTAATTTACCTTGTCAAATTTCCATGCATAAATATACAGGTCACATCTCTGATTTTGTGTGTCAACAATTTATTTAGGAATATGGATTTTGACTGTCTGTCCGTCTGTGGAAATCACTCTAGCTTCCGAACGAAACATTATAAACAGATTTTTTTCAAGTTTCGCATTTGAATATTGTAATAGCTTGTGACAAAAGTTGCCTAGGCAGGTCCACGTAGTCATATAGATCCCAATATACGGCTACATTCGGTATTTTTAAGATTTTAACAGAATTTTTAACGGATTTTATTTATTTTTATACTCTACACCACAAGGTGGTCAGGGTATTATGTCTTTGTGCATTTGTTTGTAACAGGCAAAAGGAAACGAGATAGAACCATAGTTCCTTTTGATGATCTGCATAGAATCACTTTCTGAGTTGATTTATGCATGTCAGTCCGTCTGTCCGTCTGTCCGTCCGTCCGTCTGTCCATGTATTCTTGTGAACAAAATGCAGGTCGCATTTATTATTATATTATCCGATTGAGATGAAATTTTGCAAACAACATTTGTTTGGCCCAAGGACGAACCCTATTGAAATTGGAGATAATCGGTAAAAATTTAGATATAGCTCCCATATATATCTTCGTCCGATTTGCCTTTTATTGTGCGCCAAACGTGTAATATCAGCCCGAATAATATGGAATTTTGCACATACAACAAAATTAGGCCTGAAAATAAGTATACCAAATTTTATCGAAATCGGTTCAGATATAGCTATAGCTCCAATATATATTGTTCCTCCGATTTGTTATTTTTGTCCTCCGCAGCCGTAATATGCACTCTGAAACAACAATATTTGGGGAAATATATCAAATGCAGCTCAGAAATACCTTTGCTAAATTTTATCGAGATCGGTTCAGATTTGGATATAGCTCCCATATATAACTTCGTCCGATTTACCATTTATTGTGCACCAAACGTCTAATATTTGTCCAAAAGGGGTGGAATTTGGCACATACGACCGAATTTAGTCTAGAAGGTAGTATGCCAAATTTGGTGAAGATCGGTTCAGATATAGTTATAGCTCCCATATATATTGTTCATCCGATTTATTGTATTTGTTACCCACAGCCGTAATATGCACTCCGTAACAACGATATTCAGGGAAATATATCAAATACAGCTCAGAAATATCTTTGCCAAATTTTATCGAGATCGGTTCAAATTTGGATATAGTTCCCATATATATTTTTGTCCGATTTCAAATTAATTTCGCACCAAATGGGCAATACAAGTCCGATTTTAAAAGATACAAATGCTTCGGCATATTTAGTCCTTTGAATTTTAAATTATAATCATAGCGTGTATGATTGAATTCTCCCATAAAAACTTTTAATTATAAAGTGGAGCTCAACTAAATTAGCAAAGTGGTGTAGGGCATCATAAAATCGGCCCCGCCCGACTTTAGGATTTTCTTTACTGTTTTTTTTTTTTTTAAGTGCGAAATTTGTACCAAGTGGTGGAGGGTACTTGCTTTGGGTTACTTGTTTTCTATACAAAATACCAAACTTAGTAACATTAATTACTTTACGTACACTTCATAGTACGAATTTCCAATTCGACCTCCATATCTACTAAGCCTTTCATTCTCAAAATGAACATCCAGAATGCTAGTTCTTTTCCTATATTATATATCAAATTTAATATTTTGGTATACAACACTACTACGCATTTCCAAATCCCCAGCCTTATCTAGAAATTATACACCTCTAGCGATCCTGATACCAAAATGTAAAAGTCTTATGCTATTCCTACACTCTATGCCGTATTTAGTATTTTTGGTATTTTTATACCCTCATCCATATGACTACAGAGGGTATATATCATTTGATACGGTCAAAACGTGCCTAGTCGAAATAATGGCTTTAGACCCTAGGTCTCTTTGGACCAAATCCATTTCAGAACAGTTGGAGTTGATCTAGCGATGTGCGTCCGTCTGTCTGTCTCTCCGTCTGGCTGGTGCGCACGATAACTCTCGAATGGAGTATCCGATTTGATCCAAACATGGTACATTGTAATATTTTTGTCAAACTTAGATCGAGTTCGGAGATGGGCAATATCAGTCCACTTCATCAAGTATCTCCCCCACAAAACGGCGAAATTTTCAAAAAATATTTTTTTTTTGCGCAGAAAAAGAAAGGCTAATCCGATTTTGCTCCATCTTTGCAATTCTTAATATTTGCGTCAGTGCTAGGTCAGGTGTGAAAATGGACAATATCGGAACACTCCATCAAGTACCTCCCCCACAAATGGTCAAAATTTTGAATAATTACAACTCTCATAAAATGTGAGGTAAGAGTCCGATTGTCTTCAAAATTCACACATTCCAATATTTATATTAACCCAAGGTCTGGTGTTAAGATGGAATATATCGGTTCACTCCTTGTGGTACCTCCCCACAAAAAATCGAAATTTTCAAAAAAATATATATATAATCCGATTTTGCTCCAACTTTGCAAATCCTAATATTTGGTCAGGTGTGACCATGGACAATATCGGTCCACCGTTTCTTGTACCTCCCCCACAAAGGGTCAAAATTTTAAATAGTTAAAACTCTCATAAAATGTGAGGTAAGAGTCCGATTGTCTTCAAATTACACACATTTCAATATTTATATTAACCCAAGGTCTGGTGTTAAAATGGAATATATCGGTCCACTCCTTCTAGTACCTCCCCCACAAAAGGGCGAAACTTTCAAAAAATATATATTCTGCACAGAAAGAGTGAGGATAATCCGATTTTGCTCCAACTTTGCAAATCGTAATATTTGCGTCAGTGCTAGGTCAGGTGTGAAAATGGACAATATCGGTCCACTCCATCAAGTTCCTCCCCCAAAAATGGTCAAACTTTTGAATAATTACAACTCTCATAAAATGTGAAGTAAGTGTCCGATTGTCTTCAAAATTCACACATTCCAATATTTATATTAACCCAAGGTCTGGTGTTAAGATGGAATATATCGGTTCACTCCTTTTGTCAACTCCCCCACAAATGGTCGAAATTTTCACAAAATATATTTTTTGCACAGAAAGAGAAACCATAATCCGATTTTGCTCCAACTTTGCACATCGTAATATTTGCGTTAGTGCTAGGTGAGGTGTGAAAATGGACAATATCGGTTCGATCCTTCTGGTACAAATCAATGAAGTCTGTTATGGTTGGAACCTAAAAAATCAAATATAAAGCCAATACATACCTCCATTCAGAATTTATATTTAATCTATTTCAAAGGCATTATATGTTATGTAATGAGAGGTCACATGCAGCGGAACAAAAATCTCTCTGTCCAATTGTCCAATGGAAATAGATTCAGATTAATATATAGCCTCCATATATTTGCTCCAAGCGATTTTAAATTAAGGTATCTCCAAAGCTATGGTTAGCTAAGCTAAATATGTATTATAAAGGCGGAAACCCCAGGTTTTAATATGTTTTCACTAAATTTCATGTGATAACAAGTGAAAAAGCACAAAGTTCCATCGAGACGAACTTTTAAAACCCTCAACCGTTTGGAAGAAATTTTCAAAAAAAAATCCATTGAAATATACTGCTAAAATTATAAAAATACCGAATTCAGGGAGTTACCATTATATTGGGGACTATACGAAGGCATAGGTCTGTATATGCAATTTTTGTCATAGGCCATTACAATATTCAAATACGAAACTTGAAACAATTCTGGTCAATGATGTCCTTAAAATCATCAAAATATAGAATATAAAGAGTGAGATGAAAAAACTGCAACCATCTTCAGACTGCTGTCATTCCTAAGCCACTAGTCCGACAAATGTTAGAATTATTCAAGTGACAGCTCATTATATTATTTACAAGCGTACAAAAGCATTTTGGTGAGAATTTTCCAGAAAAAAAGTTATTTGTGATGGAATTCAAGCGTGATGGTGTCCTTTACTTATATTTGGCTAGAAAACCACAAGTGGCTATCCTCAGAGCACTCCAGCATTTAAATGTGAATAAAACTTTTGTGTCTCGTACCATTGCTCGTTACTGTGACACTGGTAGCGTAACCCGACGTCAAGGAAGTGGGCGGAAGAAAACAGCAACATCAGCAGATATAGTTCGAAAAGCAAAGAAGCGACTTGATCGAAATTCACGTCGTTTTGGCCGTAAAATGGCTCGTGAGCTGAACATATCGCAATATTCCATTCGGCAAATATTGAAAAATGAGCTCGGGTAAAGCCATTGAAATTCCAAAAAGTACACGAACTTACACCGCAACAGAAAGAAAGTGGACTCAAAAGAACTAAAGAGTTGCTTCGCTTGGCCGAAAGTGGTGATCTGCCGAATTTGGTTTTCTCCGATGAAAAAACATTCGTTGTCCAGCAGTTTGTATACAAACAAAATGATCGTGTTTACTTGGCAAAGAGGTCAGCTGAAAATGTGCACCTTCGGTTGGCCACCAGAACTCAAGCGCCGGCCATGGTGATGGTGCGGGCCGCCATAACAGCCGATGGTCGCTCTCCGCTTGTATTAATCGACCGTCGCATCAGAGTAAATGCCGAATATTATCGCGAAAATATTCTGGAGGGTGTATTAAAACCTTGGGCACGCAAACATTTTGGCCGAAGACCTTGGACATTCCAACAGGACTTGGCACCCGCCACCCAATAATGGTTACAAAATGAGGTTCCTTGCTTCATTTCCAGCGCACAATGTCTGGAGTATTTTAGAAAGCAAGGTTGGCACTAAAAAATACCAAAGTGTCGATCACCTCAAGCAAGCGCTTCGCCGGGAATGGACCAAAATATCGCAGAGCAACATTCGGGCAGTGTGTAATGGTTTCATTGGCCGTTTGAAGGCCATAACTCGTGCCAAAGGTGACCAATTCGAACAAATCTAAACTTATTCTAAAATTTGATGCTATTTTCGACATTTTTTGCTTTCATTCAATAAAAATTAAAAAAAAGGAAAAAATTATGGCG